GGGACAGACACAGAATAGAAGTTACTGAGGGATACAGAATTGATTACTGAGGGACACAGAACCGTTACTTAGGGCCACAGAAACGTTTACTTAGGGGGGCCACAGAAACGTTACTCTTAGGGCCACAGAAACGTTACTTAGGGCCACAGAATTCGTTTACTTGGGCCACAGAAACGTTACTTAGGGACACAAACGTTTACTTAGTGCCACAGAATTGTTTTACTTAGGGACAGACACAAGAATTAGTTTACTGAGGGACACAGATTTGTTACTGAGGGCCACAGAAAAGGGTGTTTTATGTTGTTACTTAGGGCCACAGAAACGTTACTTAGGGGACAACAGAATTGTATTTACTCAGGGACAGACACAGAATTTGTTACTGAGGGACACAGAAATTGTTACTGACACGGGACACAGAATTTGTTACTGAGGGACACAGAATTGTTACTCCAGGGACACAGAATTGTTACTGAGGGACACAGAATTGTTACTCCAGAGGACACAGAATTGTTACTCAGGGACAGACACAGAAATTGTTTACTCACTGGACAGACCACAGAATTGTTACTGTAGGGACACAGAAATGTTAACTGAGGGACACAGAATTGTTATACTCAGGACCGACAGACACAGAATTGTTACTCAGGGACATGACACAGAATTGTTACTGAGGGACAACAGAATTGTTACTGAGGGACACAGAATTGGTTACTTCAGCGACAGACACAGAATTGTATACTCAGGGACAGACACCAGAATTGTTACTACGAGGACACAGAATTGTTACTGAGGTACACAGAATTTTACTCAGGGGACACAGTAATTGTTTACTCAGGGATCAGACACAGAATTGTTACTCAGAGGGACAGCCACAGAATTGTTACTGAGGGACACAGAATTGTTACTGAGGGACACAGAATTGTTACTGAGGGACGACACAGAATTTGTTACTGAGGGCCACAGAATTGTTACTGAGGGACACAGATTTGTTACTGAGGGCCACAGAACCGTTACTTAGGGCCCAGAAACGTTACTTAGGGACACAGAATTGTTACTCAGGGACAGACACAGAATTGTTACTCAGGGACAGACACAGAAATTGTACTCAGGGACACAGAATTGTTACTCAGGGACAGAGAAATCGTTTAATTAAAGAGTATGTCAGACAACATGCAGAGGAGTGGCAGAGGAGGCAATGTTTTAGGAGCGAGCAGACGTGGCAGCAGAGGAAGGGGTCGAGGCAGCACTAGTCGCAGCCAGAAGGCCAGTGCTCCCGGTGTCAATCCAGCGGCTCGTGTCTCCACCGACAACCCTGCCGTCATCGATTGTACCTGAGGGCCCGGTCGTCTTCCTCTTCCCAGGTCACCTCTGACCCTACCAGCCAATGGTCGGTGGGTACGTCATCGACACCAACTGTTAGTTGGCATGGCCCGGAGCAAGCCCACTGGGAAATCACGTGTCCTCTACCTGCCCCTGTCCTTTGGTGTTTCCCTCACCAAGCGGGAAGTATCGCATGCTGTGGGCTCAGCCCACTGTACAGAGAGGAAGAGCTAACAGAGGCGGCCACCAGGAACGGGGGAGACATCCGCCTCTTCAGCAGCCAGCGAAGAAGTAGTGGCGAGGAGAGAGTGCTCGGTACCGGTCCTAGGAGACAGGTTCTGTCTCCTGACCCACCCAAAACCACAGCAGCCGAGGGGGCTAGTAGTGAGGCGGAGACCCTAATTGAGAAAAGATGATGAGGCTGATCGCACTTGGCAGCCTCGTCGTCATCAGGCTATTGCTTCCGCATCATCAGGAGAAGAGGGTGGCAGCTTGGCAGCGAAGCAAAACAGTCGGTGGGCTTTTTTTTGCCCAGGAGGCAGCAGGGTCGCAGCAGTGTCAGTGGAGGCAAACGGCCACGGAGTAGAGCACCAGCTCCACTGCCAGCCTACCACCACGGCCAGTAGTGGTGCTGGTGTGCACGGAGGGAAGCAGCAGTCAGCCCAGTGAGGAGTATCGGGGGCAAAGTTTCCTACTGCCGGCGGTGTCGGGCAAATTTTTGTCAAGCCGCCGAGGAAGTAAACGTAGCCGCCTATGTCACTATGTGGCCAGAAAGTCAAGCGTGGCCAGGGGGCCCATGTTGGGGACTACAGCGTTGCGTCAGCATATGCAGCGTCGCCATTTGGTGGCCTGGGAAAACCGTGATTAAAGATACGGCGGTTCTGCCTGCCCCAGCCCCCGCTCCATCACGCCGCTCCGTTACTTGCTTCCGTCCACCCCCGACGTCAATCGCCGTCTATCAGCCAGTCAAGGCTCCAACACCTCTGCTGAGGGAAGTTGTCGCTCGTTGCATCTTCCCGCACCCGTTCCTGATGCTCCTTCTCCTGCTACTCCTCTTCATCACGGATTCCGTCAGCAGTCTTTCTTGGAATCCGTTTTTTCCAAGAGACAACAGTTTTGCGAGCAGGGGAGACCAACGAGCACGACATTTTGTGAGAACGGTGGCAAAAGCTGAACGTCCTCCTGTCCAATTGCTGGTGCTGCAGTTCCCTCCCTTCTTTCCAAGTGGTGGACTCAGCACCGTTCCGAGAAATGATGGCTTGTGCCACGCCGCGGTGGAGAGGTGCCAAGCCGTCCATTTCGTCGCCAAAAAAAGGCAGTGCACCCAGCCCTGCATTCACATGTAGAAGAGATGGTGGGCCAGTCTTTGAGCATGTCGGTCTCTGCCAAAGTGCAACGCAGCGCCGACTGTGGACCTGTAACTACGGTCAGGGACAGTAACATGTAACATTTACGGCCCACTGGGTGAACGTGGTGCCGTCACAGCCGCACCAGCAACTTGGACAGGTCACGCCGCTTTTGCCTCCACGTTTGCACGTCCTTGGTCCGGCAAAGATGTCCGCCTCTACCACCTCTTCTTTCCGCCGTGTCCTCAGCCGCCACCCCCGTGGGGCCAAGTCCCATTACCCGACCGGCATATCACACATGTGCAGGGTGCAACGGTGTCACGCTGTGCTGCACCTGGTATGCCTTGGCGAACGTAGTCACACAGGGGAGGAACTTCTCAGTGTAACGAACAGCCATAGAAAATCGACAGATGGCTGTTCTCCGCGCAAACTGAAAATCGGAAACCATGTTGACCGACAACGGAAAGAACATGGTGTCTTCTCTGCGTCAAGGAAGGTTGTGCCACGGGCGCCATGCATGGCTCACGGTTCAATTCGTTGGTTTGTCAACGGTTCCACGGAAAATCCACCATCCCACTGCAAGACATCCTTAAAATGTCACGTAAACTTTGCATGCATTTCAGCCATTCCTACACCGGCAAACACACCCTCCTTGAGTCAGCAGCGGCAGAACGAATTCCACAGCATCGCCTGATCTGCGACGTTGCAACAAGGTGGAATTCAACCCCTACACCATGTTAGACCGCCTTTACGAACAACGAAAGGCCATCAACCGATTTCCTGATGTTACAAGGGATAATGGTACTCCCCTGGTGTAACTTCGATGTCAGCCATTTGGCAGCTCTCATGCGTGACACCTGCCGCTTGCTCAGGCCCTTTGAGGAGGCCCCACGCTATTCGTGAGTCGGCAGGACCCATGGGATGAACGACGTCATTCCTCTGTTGCACGTCCTGGAACAAATGCTGTTAACAATGGCTGGTCAGGATGCGGTAGATACGTGGCGCACAGATCTCAACGCCACATGACCCCCCTGTGGGGGCAGGACAGCGAAGAAGAGGAGGAGGTAGTAGAGAGGACATTTTGTGCTCAGGAATTATTGAGTGAAATGGGTGGTTTTCCACTCAGCGGACAGGAGTGGAGGGCAGGAGCATCTGGTAGAGGAGGAGGAGATCTGTCAGAGGACCCAGACGCACCGTGGCAGTATGCTGTGGAATGGAGAGGCAGAGAGTCACCTCGCATTCCTTGGCACAAATGGCCCATAGCAAGCTCGGTTGCTTGAGTAGCGACAGCCGAATAATAACCATCAGACAGAGGGCAGGACTTTTGGCTGTCCACCCTTGTTGGACCCCCTCGCTACCGTTCAAAAATGGTGGCCTTTTTCACACCTGCTGAGAGGGAGGCCAAAATAACGTACTTTAAAACCACCTATGTAGTCAAATTGGTCACTGCTTTTCTGCGCCAACGTCCATCCTCAGACACTGTGGGCCCCTGTGCCTGGCCCGCGTTCCCGCTGCCATGGCAGCAGGAGGAGTGTGGGGTGGTAGGAGCAGTGGCATGCTGCCACCAGCAGCGGCTGCCTCAGTCTGCAGTCGATGATGAGTAGCTTTCTTCACCAGCGCAGGTGAGGAAACTACTACTAACCAGCCGCAGCAGCAGCAGCATCAGGTGGACCTGGAGCAGGACCTCAAAAACAACAGGCTTGGGCCTAACTTGGACAGCACCCTGCCAAACCGAGGTAGACAATCCCCTTGACTACTGGGCAACGAAACTTGACCTTTGGCCCCAACTAGCTGAATTTTGCCCTTGAAAGGCTGTCATGCCCAGCCAGTAGCGTGGGCATCGGAGCGCGTGTTTAGTGCGGCAGGAGGTATTGCAGAACTCCGCGGAGGACACGACTGTCCACCCAAAGTGTGGAGAGACGCACCGTTTGTGGAAAATGGGAATCAGGCGTGGAATTAGTCTGGGATTTCCAAACCACCAGTTGTTCCTGACACAACTGACCTAAATCCGCCATGAATCATGCCCCAAACATGTGCCACTTTCAGGTCTCCTCACCACTGCTGGTGGTTTCCATTTTTTTTGTCATAGGGTGCTGGGCAGATTACGGGCCTCCCATAGCTGCTGCCAGGCCCCTAATCCTGCCATGGGGCCCCTGTACCGCCTGTCCAGGTCCAGACCCGTCTCATGCTGCTGCCTCCCCAGGTCCACAGGTGTCTCATGCCATGTGCCACTTTCAGGTCTCCCTCACACGCTTGGTGTGTTCCATTTTTTTGTCATAGGGGTGCTGGCAGATTACGGGCCTCCCATAGCTGCTGCCAGGCCCCTAATCTGCCATGGGCCCCTGTACCGCCTCCTCATGCTGCTGCCAGGTCCAGAGTGTGTCATGGGTCCCTGTACGGCCTCCCATTGCTGCTGTCTCCATCGCCAGGTAGCACTCTGCCATGTGCCAACTTTCAGGTCTCCTCACACATGCTGGTGGGTGTTTCCATTTTTTTGTCATAGGGTGCTGGCAGATTACGGGCCTCCCATAGCTGCTGCCAGGCCCTAATCTGCCAAGGGCCCCTATACCGCCTCCCTCATGCTGCTGCCAGGTCCCAGTGTGTCATGGGTCCCCTGTTACGGCCTCCATTGCTGCTGTCTTTCCATCGCCACACTCTGCCATGAAGCGGCCACTTTTCAGGTCTCCTCACACCTGCTGGTGGTGTTCCTTTTTTTGTCATCGCGAATGGGTGCTGGCAGATTACGGGCCCTCAGATGCTGCTGCCAGGCCCCTAATCTGCCATGGGCCCCCGTACGCCTCCTCCTCAGTGCTCTGCCAGGTCCAGAGTCTCTCATGGGTCCCTGTACGGCCTCCCATTGCTGCTGTCTCCATCGCCACAACTCCTATGCCATGTGCCACTTTCAGGTCTCCTCACACACTGCTGGTGTTTCCATTTTTTGACATGCCCCCCGGGTGCTGGCAGATTGACGGGCCTCCCATTGGCTGCTGCCAGGCCCCCTAATCAAGCAATAGGGGCCCCCCAGTACCGCCTCATCATGCTGCGGCCAGGTCACAGTCCTCTCATGGGTCCCTGTACGAAGCCTCCCATGACTGCTGTCCTCCATCGCCACACTCTAGCCATGTGCCACTTTCAGGTCTGCCTCACACTGCTGGTGTGAGTTTCCATTTTTTGTCATAGGGTGCTGGGCAGATTACGGCCTCCCAAGCTGCTGCCAGGCACTAATCTGCCATGGGAACATGTACCGCCTCCCTCATGCTGACTGCCAGGGTCAGCAGTCTCTCTCATGGGTCCCCTGTAACGGCCTCCCATTGCTGGCTGTACTCCATCGTCACACTCCTGCCATGTGCCCACTTTCCATGGTCTCCTCACACACTGCTGGTGTGTTCCAATTTTTTTCATAGGGTGGGCCCTGGCAGTAATTACGGGCCTCCCCATAGCTGCTGCCATAGGCCCCCCTAATCTTGCCATGGGCCCCTGTACCGCCGTCCCTCATGCTGCTGCAAGGCCAGGTCCACAAGTGTCTCATGCCATGTGCCACTCTTTCAGGTCTCCTCCACACTGCTGGTGTGTTCCATTTTTTTGGTCATATGAAGGGTGCTGGCAGATTACGGGCCTCCCATAGCTGCTGCCAGGCCCCTAATCATGCCCATCGGCATGGCCCCTGTACCGCCTCCTCATGCTGCTGCCAGGTCCACAGTGTCTCTCATTCGCATGTGCCACTCTTCAGGTCTCCTCACACCATGCTGGTAGTGTTTCCATTTTTTGTCATAGGGTGCTGGCAGATTACGGGCCTCCCATAGCTTGCTGCCAGGCCCCTAATCTGCCATGGGCCCCTATACCGCCTCCTCATGCTGCTGCCAGGTCAAGAGTCTCTCAGGGGGTCCCCTGTACGGCCTCCATGCTGCTGTCCCTCCATCCGCCACAACTCGTGCCATGTGCCACTTTCAGGTCTCCTCACACCCTGCTGGTGTGTTCCATTTTTTTTGTCATAGGGTGCTGGCAGATTACGGGCCTCCCATAGCACCTGCATAGTTTGAATTGCCAGGCCCCTAATCTGCCCATGGGCCCCTGTACCCCGCCTGCCTCATGCTGCTGCCAGGTCCAGGAGTGTGTCATGGGTCCCTGTTACGGCCTCCCATTGCTGCCTGTCTCCATCGCCACACTCTGCCATGTGCCACTTTCAGGTCTCCTCACACACTGCTGGTGTGTTCCATTTTTTGTCATAGGTGCTGGCAGGATTACGGGCCTCCCCATAGCTGCTGCCCAGGCCCCTAATCTGCCATGGGCCCCTGTACACCCGCCTCCTCATGCTGCTGCCAGGGGTTCCACAGTGTACCTCATGCCATGTGCCACTTTCAGGTCTCCTCACACTGCTGGTGTGTGTTCCATTTTTTTGTCATAGGGTGCTGGCAGATTACGGGCCTCCCATAGCTGCTGCCAGGCCCCTAATCTGCCATGGGCCCCTATACAACCGCCTCCTCCATGCTGCTGCCAGGGTCCAGAGTCCTCTCATGGGTCCTGTATGGCCTCCCATTGCTGCTGTCTCCATCGCCACACTCTGCCATGTGCCACTTTCAGGTCCTCCTCACACACTGCTGGTGTGTTTCCATTTTTTTTGTCATAGGGTGCTGGCAGATTAACGGGCCTCCCATAGCTGCTGCCCAGGCCCCTAATCTGCCATGGGCCCCCTATACCGCCTTCCTCATGCTGCTGCCAGGTCCACAGTGTCGGCCTCTCATGCCATGTGCCACATTCAGGTCTCCTCACCACTGCTGGTGTGTTCCATTTTTTTCATAGGGTGCCTGGCAGATTACGGGCCTCCCATAGCTGCTGCCAGGCCCCTAATCTGCCATGGGTCCCTATACTATACCGCCTCCTCATGATGCTGCCAGGTCCCAGAGTCTTCTCATGGGTCCCTGTAACGGCCTCCCGTGCTGATCTGTCTCCATCGCCACACTCTGCCATGTGCCACTTTCAGGTCTCCTCACACTGCTGGTGTGTTCCATTTTTTTGTCAATAGGGTGCTGGCAGATTACGGGCCTCCATAGTCTGCTGCCAGGCCCCTAATCTGCCATGAGGGGGGCCCCTGTAGTCCGCCTCTTCGGTGCTGCACGCCAGGTCCAGAGTGTGTCATGGGTCCCCTGTTACGGCCTCCCATTAGCTGCTGCCAGGAGGCAGCAGGGTAGCCAGCAGCAGTGTCAGTGGAGGCAAAACGGCCACGGAGTAAAACGCAACCAGCTCCACTGCAGCCTACCACCCAGAACGGCCAGTAGTGGTGGCCGGCTGTGCACGGATGTTGGGAATAGCAGTCAGCCAGGGTAGGAAGTACGCGGGGCACAAAGTTTCCCTACTCGGCGGTGTGGCAATTTATTCTCGTCAAGCCGCCCGAGGTAAAGTAAAACGTACCGTAATGTCCACTATGTGGCCTAGAAAGTCAAGCGTGGCCAGGGGGCCCATAGTTGGGACTACAGCGTTGCGTCAGCATATGCAGCGTCGCCATTCGTGGCCTGGGAAAACCGTGATAAAGATACGGACGGCTCTGCCTGCCCACAGACCAGGGTTCCATTTTGTCATAGGGTGCTGGCAGATTACGGGCCTCCCATTGCTGCTGCCAGGCCTTAATCTGCCATGGGCCCCTGTACCGACCTCCCCATGCTGCTGCCAGGTCCACAAGTGTCTCATGGGTCCCTGAACCGCCAACCCATTGCTGCTGTCTCCATCGCCACACTCTGCCATGTGCCACTTTCAGTGTCTCCTCACACTGCTGGTGTGTTACATTTTGTTTTGTCATAGGGTGCTGGCAGATTACGGGCCTCCATTGCTGCTGCCAGGCCCGTAATCTGCCATGGGCCCCAGTACGCCGAACCGCCTCCTCATGCTGCTGCCAGGTCCCACAGTCTCTCCATGGGTCCCTGTAACCGGCCTCTCCAGTGCTGCTGTCTCCATCGCCACACTCTGACATGTGCCATACTTTCAGGTCTCCTCACACACTGCTGGTGTTTCCATTTTTTTGACATAGGGTGCTGGCAGATTACGGGCCTCCCATTGCTGCTGCCAGGCCCCTAATCTGCCATGGGCCCCAGTAACCCGCAGGGGGGGAGGGTGACCCACTGGAAGCCTCCTCATTGCTGCTGCCAGGGTCCACAGTCTATCTCATGGGTCCCTGTACGCGGCCTCCCATTGCTGCTGTCTCCATCGCCACACTCTGCCATGTGCCACTTTTCAGGTCTCCTCACACTGCTGGTTGTGTTCCATTTTTTGTCATAGGGTGCTGGCAGATTACGGGCCTCCCATGGGGGCTTCTGCTGCCAGGCCCCTAATCTGCCATGGGCCCCTGTACCGCCTCCTCATGCTGCTGCCAGGTCCCAGAGTCTCTCATGGGTCCCTGTACGGGCCTCCCATTGCTGCTGTCTCCATCGCCACACTCTGCCATGTGCCACTTTCAGGTCTCCTCACAACACTGCTGGTGTGTTCCATTTTTTTGTCATAGGTGCTGCAGATTACGGGCCTCCCATTGCTGCTGCCAGGCCCGTAATCTGCCATGGGCCCCCGTAACCGACTCCTCATGCTGCTGCCAGGCACGTAATCTGTCATGGGCCCCTGTTGTCGCTTGTTGGCATATTCCGCTCGTTCAGATGCTCCTTCTCCTGCTACTCCTCTTCACGGATTCCGTCAGCAGTCTTTCTTGGTATCACGTTTGCCAAGAGACAACAGTTTGCGAGCACGCACCCGACGGTGCAGAAAGGCTGAAACGTCCTCATGTCCAAGTTGCTGCTGCCAGGCTCGTAATCTGTCATGCGCCCCTGTACCCGCCGCTCCTCATGCTGCTGCCAGGTCCAGAGTGTGTCATGGGGGGCCCCCGTACCAACATAGGGTGCTGTATAGCCTCCATTGCTGCTGCCTCCACCGCCACACTGTGGCTCCACACTCTGGTTTTGGCCCCGTGACTGCCCAAATGAGTGAAGTGTGCGGTGATTCTAAGATCGACGGCACTCATCTGCATGTCATACTGACTGTCAGTATTATTTCTCTTCCCCAGCAGACTCCAAGGGCATTTAAATTAAAGGTACAGTGTTCTGCACTAATATAAAGGCTCTCTGAAGCCTAGAAACACCCTTTTATAAGTTAAATTCGCAGCGAATATATTCGACTCGAATCGAAATTTTTTCACGAATTCGCCGAATCAGTCGAATCGAATTTTTGAATAATTCGCTCATTTCTATCAATCACCATGGAATGTCTAGATGTAATTGTACAAGAACAGGATCAGAGCTGTGAAATGTGTGTAACTACCCTGTTCTAATTACATAATCCCATCCTTGGTGTGAGGAAGTCTGCATAGGTGTTATCCCTTCCATTGATATGGATGGAGGTGTGAATTTTCAGGTGCCAGGGTACAGATGTTAAAAAGGCATTATGTGTGGAAGACAAATGGTGTTAAAGGCCCCTACCATTTTCAGGAGAGGTTGTTCCAGTTTGATGTAGATGGCCTCTTTCAAGCCTTTTGTGAACCAGCTGTCCTCTCTGTCAAAATGTGAACCTCGTTGTTCTCAAAATGAATGTCCCTTTTCTTTAAGGTAAAGAAAAACTGCTGAGTCTTGGCCAGCAGGATTATGTTCCTATCACTCATTCGAACTAAAGAAGTGTCTTGTATAAGCTATGAAACGTCTTCTACATTACAAAACATGTCAAATTGAATGTGACTAAATATTACCAGCTATACCTTGACTTGGATTTATGAGAACCTTCACAGACATACAAAAATAATCCCTGGAATTCATAAAGGCTAGCACAGGCAGATTTTGCGAATGTGTCTCACATGCATTCTAAAAGTCTGAGACAGTTTTTTCTCTGTATGCCAAAAGAGAATTGGTCTTAATTAGCTCCATTTTTACATTTAATGCAGGGGTGGGCAACTGTGGCCCTCCAGCTGTTGTAGAACTACAAGTCCCATGAGGCATTGCAAAACTGGCAGTTACAAGCATGACTCCCAAAGGCAGAGGCATGATGGGACTTGTAGTTCACCAACAGCTGGAGGGCCACAGTTGCCCACCCCTGATTTAGTGTATTCAATGTGACACAATGTAAAAGTGGCGCATTTTAGAACTGTCTGAATTTGGTGCACGAGTCGCTGTCAAAACCAAAAGTGATGAAGAAAACACTTCATGAATTTGGCACAATACACTAACAAGAGGGAGTAATGCCAGAAAAGTGTTTTTGTAACATCAACATATACTGGTAATGTTATTTAGATTAAAGAATATGTTGGTGATTCTGCCTGTCCCCCTGCCTTCCTATTTTAAACTGACCACACTAGGTATAAGAGCACATGCATCCCAACATGGTTTCTGACTGTGCTGGGAGAACAGCCTGCCTGTCCTCCAATGATCATCTTTGTGCTGACACCCCCCCCCCCTGCACAGCCATTCATTGGGAAGATCAATGTACTGCTGCTTCTCCACCTGTCCCCTCTCTATGCCCCTTATGCAGCTAAGAACAGAGATTATGTAAGTGTTTATAATGTTATTTACACACACACACATGCACAACGTTTTGCCTTTCATTTCTATTTTCAACTGAATGGGTTGTTTTATAAGATAAGGGTTCACATATACTTTCATTCTAAACCTCTAATTGAATTCCCTGTTGGGTAATACTAATGATCATAGCTTACTGTACATCCTAGTAGTAGATGAGATCGAAGGTCAGTGATGGCCAACCCTGTCTTCTGAATGCAGAAGTATTATACAAAGCTCCTAGATAGAAATCAGAAACAAACCTGTGGATATCATTTGTACAGTGAATTAGCACACCAATTAGCTATTATCTCAAAAGCGTTCTGCGACTCTCATTAATACTCTGCTTTCTCTGAATTGCTGATATCGGCAGGAACCCTGGATTCTGCTGTGTGTCTGAAAGACTTCAGATACAACCAGCTGAATTGCCTAAGTGGTAAACTACATGGGGCTGGATCAGATGGAATAGCTGTGCAGTTGACCAATGACCTCCAGTGTGCAAAATTTTACTGCTGGCCATGGCAACTGAATCCTTGGTAATTTACCTAACACAAGCATAAGCTCATGCCTGCTAATCGGTATAGAGAACAGTGTAATAATAAGTGTAGCAGAGAGAAAAAAACTGCTGGAACAAACAATTTCTAGCAAGAGAAAGCATGACAGCACAAAAACCATTTCAGTGTCCTGGAGAAAATACACTATATTGCCAAAAGTATTGGAACAACACAACACGTAAAATGACAGAGTGGGGTCAGCTAATGCTGAAGTGCACAGTACTCAGAAGTTGCCAACTGTCTGCAGAATCAATAGCTAAAGACTTCCGAACTTTGTGTGGCCTTCAGATTAGCACAACAACAGTGCATAGAGAGCTTCATAGAATGGGTTTCCATGGCCGAGTAGCTGCAACCAAGCCTTACATCACCAAGTGCAATGCAAAGTGTCAGATGCAGTGGTGTAAATCATGCTGCCACTGGACTCTGGAGCAGTGGAGACGTGTTCTCTGGAGTGACGAATCACACTTCTCTATCTGATAATTTGGGTTTGGTGGTTGCCAGGAGAACAGTACTTGCCTGACTGCATTGTGCTAAGTGTAAAGTTTGGTGGAGGGGAAATTATGGTTTGGGGTTGTTTTTCAGGGGTTGGGCTTGGCCCCTTCCAGTGAAAGGAACTCTTAAGGCGTCAGCATACCAAGACATTTTGGACAATTTCATGCTCCCAACTTTGTGGGAAGAGTTTGGGGATGGCCTCTTCCTGCTCCAACATGACTGCGCACCAGTGCACAAAGCAAGGTCCATAAAGACATGGTTGAGTGAGTTTGGGATTGAGGAACTTGACTGGCCTGCACAGAGTCCTGACTCCAACCCCATAGAACACCTTTGTAATGAATTAGAGCGCAGACTGCAAGCCAGGCCTTCTCGTCCACATCAGTGCCTGACCTCACAAATGTGCTTCTGGAAGAATGGTCAAACCTTCCCATAGACACACTCCTAAACCTTGTGGACAGCCTTCCCAGAAGAGTTGAAGCTGTTATAGCTGTAAAGGGCGGGGCCAACTCAATATTGAATTCTACACACTAAGAATGGGATGCCATCAAAGTTCATGTACGTGTAAAGGCAGGCATCCCAATACTTTTGGCAATATAGTGTATGTGCACATCTGAATTAATTACTCTAAGGTCTGCGGAGTGCAAATGCTGTACATGTTATGGATACATGAATATTATTGACTGTTATCTCTAATGTAGTCAATAAAGCACAGCAAAACAAGAAATGATGCCCAGCAGCCCATAACACCCAGTGTTCAGTTTGCTGATGAATTCTCATTGGCTGCTGGGTACTAATCTACTTTGCTCTTTGTGGCACCAAATAATGATAATCATCATAAACTCATTTCACATTATTAAAGCTGAACTCTAGGCAGATACAAAAGACACAAATCAATGTGGTTCAGTGCTCATTAATACATCATTTAAAGTTTTACTAAACCCGCAACAGTAAAATCAGTCCACATATGCAGTAAAGCATGCTTGTTACTTTCTGTGGAACCTAAAGGGTTAATCCTCCGCATTGTGTAAAAAGGCTATTTGATATAGTCCTCTCTGATTCCCCTCTTCTTCTAAAGTCCCTAATCCATCTTCTGATAGAACAGAGCCTTGGGAGCAAGCTGCACATGCTCAGTTTGGTTTCTATTGCTAGAGAGTTTTTTTTTCTTGGGAGAGTGCATTGAATCAGCACTGTTCAGACAGAGGGTCTGGGGTCCTGCAACCTCATAGGACAATCAGGGGAGAATGAAAACTCTTCCTTCAAGCTTTAACCAGTGCTCTGCTGGACACTGATAGAAGTCACAAGGCTGCTCTAACTGTTGATGAGAAAAAATATTTAGCAGTTTATATTTACTAAAATAATTGCATTTCCATGTTGTGTGTATTGTGGGAGACCAGATATAGTGAATGCAGGGTCCTGGGTTTAGTAACACTTTAATGTATTTTATTGAATGCAAACACTGTAAGTACCTGAATGTGACCTGGTTTCAGCCTTCTGCAGTCCCAGCAGGGCTCGAATGTGAGAGGAAGAAGGAGTACAAGAAGCCAATCAGTTCATATACTGACCAGAAGCATACTGATAGGAAAGAAAACAGAGTGACAACAGAAGAGCTCATGACTGTGCTGCTTCACCTTTCACTGCGCAGGCACAGGCTGAATGTGGGTCCAGAACAACCTGGGCTCAGTGGAAGTTGGTTGAATTATGCTGGCTTTTGAAATTAGAAGATCTTGTGGCAGAAAAAAAAGTACTTCAGGGGGAAATCTCTGAACTGAAGGTAGATATTGCATATAGTTTTTTGGACTAGTCATTTTTATCGTGTTATTTTTGGCTATAGTTGTGCTTTAAAGTGTGTGGAACCCCAATAATTTTTTTTTAGTTTTGGATATAGTAGATAAGGGTTAAAAGCCCTGTAAGGTTGTTTTTTTGCCTGGGTATCATTCAGAAGACTTCCTCTCACTTTCCCTCCCAGAAACAGCATGAATGGAGAAAACGTCCCTTCTTTGTATTCAGACTGCCACAGCACCTGTGGCTGTCTGAATACCTGAAGAGTAACTGCATGTGATAGGATACAGTTACTGTGCGGTCGACGATTTTCCACCCAGCTCCGTCAATTTTTCAAATGAAGTTTATTGAGCCGGATTGTGCTGACAAGGACACCCTTATCTCAAATTTCGCCTGATTCAGCGGGAATCAGCTGAAATTCAAGACATGTATGATCAGCTTTAGACATCTGTCACAGGCAGGTTTACCCGTTAAAAAATATCCCTCCACCTTTCGTTTCTGTGCCATCTTAAACATTTAGGATTTCCCATCACTTTCTAAATTGGAGACTGTGGTCACCAGGATAAACAGAGAAGTATCTTCCCAGTGGGGACACAAATAGCAGTAAATCCCCAATAGTGGGTATCAGCCCTTCTATATTTTATCCTACACTTCAAAAACAGTTTTGGCTTGATATATACACCTAATTTTTTTCAACTTTAGGATACGTATAATTATGTTGTATATATACATAGTGTGACACAAAGAAC